AATTACATTCACTCTTACAATTACTTATATACCTGCTGATGGCACTGGCGCTGCTACATATTTTCTTTTTGCTCGACCAACCAGACCAGACTAGAAGATTAAAAAAATTGATTAAGAAATGTCATTGAGGTTTCTACTCTACGTAGAAGCCTCAATAGCATTTAATTTATTTTTAATTCGTCTAGTCCGTTTGGGGCCTCATTTTATACGTACAATTCATAGATAACCTGACCTGACGAGAAAATGAACTTTTCTATACGGCAGCTATGAAAAATACAACAGAATTCTTATATAAGAACAAAAAGTAATTGTATATAATGCGAATATGATATGTATATAAGTTGCACAGAATGTCTGACTTGACTTGTATTTTCTGTCAAATCACAAGTCAAATCAAGTCAAAAAATGAAAAATGAAAGTCAAGTCATGACTTGCCCATCTCTGGTTTGTAGATTCACATCACTAGAAAAGACTTTCTTTCTTGATTGAAAACAAGTTATTGATAACTAACGACAACTACGTGTAATGGTCGTGAAGTTCGACTCGATCTAATATATATATATACAACATGGAATTACGTGTTCAAATCAAATTTGACCAGAGAAGAATGGAATGTACCGTTTAATTTCTATTGTTATATGTAGCTATATACTCTATGTTGATTATTTTTCTTGTTACCTTTGCACAATATTCTAACTAACTTTTCTTCTCAGCTGTCTAGTACATAGGTATTTAATTTTGTTTTTAAATTTCAGATGAATTCAAATCAATTAAAAATAGATAAACTTTGGAGCCGTCCTGAACCACCATCAAAACCTGGTCCAGTTTTAAATACAAATGAAATTAAGGTATTCTTTTCGAAACCATTCATTCATTCACTATTCTTTTTTCTTCTATTTATTTCATAGTGAAAATCTTTCATAGTACTTGAAAGACTTTGTTATTTTCTATTTGATTTATACAAACATATTTTAAAAGAACAGTTGTTTTTTTTTTTTAGACATCCATGGGAAATCCGAATACTAAATTATCTTCATTTCCAATGCCTACTGCTCGTTGGCGACCAAATCAACGTCCATTTGTTCTTCCACCACCGACAATAAATCCAAATGGTACATCATCAATGAGAACAATTCAATTAATTGATCCTATTATTACACCAACTTCAACAATCAGTAGTTTAAAACATATTCAATCAGCTCAAAATCTATTCAGTATTGGAAAACGTATGCCTGAAATAGAACTAGCTTTAAAACAACTTATTGCTAATATGGAAAAATGTCCACGACCAGAACAAGAATCACCACAACCATTATCACTTCGTAATGTAACACTACATGGTTATCAACGACATGCACTTGCTTGGATGGAATGGCGTGAAAATAATCCACCATTTGGTGGTAAGCAAATATTTTCAATTAAGTTTTTTGTTTTTATTGTCTAATGAATATTATCATATCGTTTAGGAATATTAGCTGATGATATGGGGTATAGTATAGTTTTATAAAGTCTTATTCGATGATTTTTTTTTTCTCAGACTTGGTAAAACTGTAACTACCATTGCTTTTCTTCAACTTCGAATGAATTCAATAAAACAAGACTGTTCCGAACAAATATTTGATTCTACAAAAACTCGAGCTATTCCAACAACACTTGTTATATGTCCAGCTACACTTATGAGCCATTGGGAAAGTGAAATAAATAAATATAGTCGTATGCGATGTTTTATTTATCATGGTTCATCACGTAAAAAAGATATTCCAATGGGTGGTGCAATTCGTGCTTTTGGACAATATTGTGTTGTACTTACATCTTATGAATTAGTACGAGCTGAACATACATCCGATGAAATTAAAGTAGACTATGATTATTTTTTTTTTCTCTTTTACATTAAAAATTTCATTATTCTTATTATTTTAGAATCCATTATTTGCTGTAAAATGGCAACGAATTGTTCTTGATGAAGCACATCGAATACGTTCACATAAATCTCAAACAGCTCAAGCATGTTCATCACTTGATGCTATTTATCGTTGGGCATTAACTGGAACCCCAATACATAATAAAGCTGATGATTTTTATTCACTTCTTCATTTTCTTCATTATTCACCATTTGATATATATTCAACATGGAAATTATTTTCATCAAATCAATATAAATCTATTGAACGTATGAAAACAATTGTACGTTCATTAATACTTCGACGAACAAAAACTGATTATGATTTAAATGGTAAATTACTTGTACCACTACCATCGAAACAAATAGAAAATCTTTGGTTAACATTAACTGATGAAGAAATGAAACATTATGAACGTATTAAAATTGAAATGACAGATGCATATAAATTATTTATTCGTAATCGACGTGAAAAAAAGAAAACAAATACAGTTGTTCTTTTTACATTAATGTAAATATATTTTAATAGAAACAAAAATATTTTTTTTTTTTGATTGTTTATTTTTCTTTAAGGCTTAAATTACGTCAAGCATGTAATCATTTATCATTAGTAAAAAATTTATCAACAGATGAAGTATTTGATGATAAAGATGATGTTGCATTAGAATTATCAATGTTTAAATTAGATTTAAATGATACATTAAATGATAAAAATATTCAATCATTAACAAAAGATACTGAACTTCAATATGATATTACATTTTTAAGTACAAAACTTAATTGTCTTTTAAAAAAACTTAATTTAATTGTTAATCAACAAGGAGAAAAATGTAAGAATAAATTATTATTATATTGATAACAATTTCTTAACAGAATCAGTTTCATTCACATAAAGGTTAAGTCTAACCAGTAATTTCTAGAATTTATTCTTTTCTATAAATCTTATTATATATTTTACCATGAAATTCGAGAATTTAGACGCAAAGCAGGTCTCTGGATAAGCATAAGATTTTAATCTTGAGAACTATGGCTTTTTTTTTAGTATATTGAAAATATACTATTGATTCTGAGAGACTAAAACTAATTTTCATGGGAGGATGCTACTTCCATTCCCCTCACTAGATTAAACTCTTATACATTTACTCGTATTTTGACTTATATCTTCACAACTTTAATCATCAATGTATGAAAAAAACAATGGATACATCTAACATGTAGTCGAAGTATTTTTTTTTGTTTCAAACGAGACTTTCATAAAAATATATTCAGAGAATTAATATTTCGTACTGAATATTGTTTACTTGTTTATTTTTCTGATAATAGGTGTTGTTGTTTCATCATGGGTGGGCATGCTTAATATCGTTCGACATAATTTAAAACAATATAATATACGTTCTTTAACAATTAGTGGTGAAATTAAAATTGCTGATCGACAATTAGTTGTACAAGCATTTAATAGTGATGAAAAGAAATATATGGTCAAGATTAGCTTCTTTGAGTTTAAATATATATATATTTATTGTTTGTATTTTAGGTTCTACTTTTATCATTGAAAGCTGGTGGTGAAGGTCTTAATCTTGTTGGTGGTAATCATCTTTTCTTATGTGAATTATCTTATAATCCGCAAAATGAACAACAAGCATGTGATCGAATATATCGAAGTAATTGAATTTTCTTACTTATTATTCAAAATAAATTGTTCTTGTTTGTTTTGCTTATAGTTGGTCAACAAAAAGATGTACATATTTATCGATTAATGATAAAAAATACAATTGAAGAACGGATTAGTAATTTACAAGAACGAAAACTTAAATTAGCTGGCGATGTTTTAGCTGGTTGTGTTGATAGATTTAGTCTTAAATTAGAAGATATTGCTTATTTATGCTCATAAACATATTCATTATTCTATGACAAAAAAAATTAATCAAATCTATTTTGTTATACTATCTTATTTTGCTGTTTGATAAAAAATTTGTATGTTTCTCTTTTTTTTTTCTACGTTGGCTTCTTCAATACAGATAATCATAATACTTAATATTGTAATTTGTTTATTTTGATTAACATCATAACAGACGTCAACTATAAACGTTTATTTCCTAATTGTTAATCTAAAAAAAAAAAGAATTAATTTGTTGCACATAAAGATCCATAGAATGAAATGCAATTAACAGCAAGAGATATGCTATAATAATTATATTTGAAAAGAATATGAGATAATATATTTTTCAAGAATATTAAAAATACCAATGAAGAAATGTTCTTAGTTTTTCCGATTTATTAAACTTCTATTGATAAAAACATTTCTTGAATATAAATAAAATAATATTACATTTTATTTTGATTATAGTTTCTTTTATTAATAATATCTTTTAATCCAATTTAGCACTCACACACATATGTAATACAGACTATTAAAATTAGATTAATATGTTCTTTGTATGGGAATAAAAATATAAATAATTAACATGGCTTTGAAATTTGATTGAACGTACAGTAACAACATAAGATATGAATTGCTTTAAACGATGATAATTTTATGAGATATGTCAAGTAAAAGTATTGTAGTGTTAACACATATTATCAATGTTATTCTTATGAAGTATAAGGACAAATCATTAGAATAGTTATGTTACAGTCAAAATTGGAATCTGGTCAAATTCTAAATTTGTCCGAACAAAATTAGAATTTTATTTTGATGAATTATAAAACTAAGCAAAAATCAATACCTAAAACATGAATGAGGTCAAGGATGGTGATGAGAGTCAGGAAGAAGGTTTTAAGTAAGATCGCCACGGATAGCCTTGATGAGAGTGAAAAATGTCTTAGTAAAGATGAATTTTTGAGTAAGACTAACATTTTACGCGGTTATTCACTCTAATTTCACACGCAACCTCGGGATATAGACTCAGACATTCTCACCTTCATTTTTGATTCCACTCGTATTCGTATTGTTGCTTTTCTTCTCAGT